GAGACATGGTTGTGCTTTTGCGAGGGGCACGAAAAATGCGTTTTCTGTTTTTTTCCTTCCGCGAGAGGCACGGGTTAGCTTTCGCGAGAGGCACAGTGGTGCTATCGAGAGAGGCACGTCCGTGCCTTTTTCGGAAAGGGAAAAAACGTGCTCCCTATTCAGTTTTTCCGTCCGATTTATTTTGTCTGGGTTTTTTCTTGAAAAAGTAGTTCGTCAATATGTATCAACATGAAATATAGTTTTAAAGATCTCGACGCGAGGAATCCGATGGTGAAAACAGTTTGAGATTTGGACGCACGATTTAAGAGATAAAATGTTTGAATAAACAGATGTAAAAAAAGGAAAACTACCAGGTTGCGACAAGTGGCACGCATGCGCGCCACTAGTCGCAAACTGAGGAGGTGAGAGTGATGTTTGAAAGGAGTACTTAATTAGTGATTCCGAGAAAATGGCCTACCTAGGGTCGTGCCTGGGCTGGGAGGCTGGGTACAGCACGACCCATTTACTTTTCTTTTTTTAAAAGAAAATTCAAATACATATTAGCCCCTAAAACAACCCAAAATCAGGGGATAAAAATGCTATGAGACAGCCCGTTCGAAATCATTAATTGAAGAGTATTTTTTTTAAAGATCACTTTCACATTTCTAGATTGCGACAAATGAAGTACTGCATGTGCGTCACTTGTCTAGATTTTCAAAATCAGATTCCATATTGATAGGTTTTTAAGATTTTTTTTCATGAAAAAACCGGAAGAAAAATCCACACCAGAAGCACGTATTTTTCTCTTTTCAAAAACCATTTCCAAGAGGCACGACCGTGCCTCTCACGAAAGCGAATCCGTGCCTCTCGCGGAAGCAAAACAATACCTCGCGCAAAAGCAAAACCATCACTCTTGTGGAAGGAAAAAAAATGCATTTTTTTCGTTTCCGAGAGACACGGTCATGCCTCTCGCGGAAGAAAAAAACAAGAAAACATGCTTTTTCTCACAGTTTTTTTTTTGTCGAAAAGCTAAGAAGATCGGTAGAAAACCGAAAACCCGAAAAAAAAAACCAAAAAACGAAAGGGCTGTGCCTTGCCTGGCCGGGCCATCTGGTCAGGTTTGGGAGTATATGGGCCGTTAGTCAGCGGCGACACGCACCGTCGTCCTCCGCTCGCACGGTCTCTTGGTCCCATCCATCCCTTGTTTCCCCGGTCGCCGCGTCGCCGCCGTCCTCCGCCCTCCCGTCTCCGCCGGACGCCCCTCGTCAGGTCTTCCTCTCCCTCTCTAGAACCCTCTCCATCTCCCGCCCCTCTTCCTTCTCGTAGCCGCAGCCGGGCGGGGCTCGCCTGCTTCTGGATCGGCCGTGGGTTCGCTGGGGGATCCCACTAGATTCGATTTTTGCGTCGGCGTGGTTTCAGCGCTAATTTAAGAGTCCTTCTCGATTCGTTTCGTTCGTTTAGGCATCGCTAGCTGCTGCTCATTTGCGGTCGTCTGACTGAGGTGTCCTGAAGCTGAGCCGGACCTCCACCTCCGGCACCGGCGAGACATGGCTGCGGCGGCGAAGGAGGTGGACATGAAGAAGATGGAGCTTATGAAGGAGGTATTAGGGCCATCTGTCCCCTCATGGATGTTTCTCTCCCTACCTTGATGCAGTCCTTTGGATTTGTTCGACGGCAGTAAAAGATATATACTAATACGCTTGTGTGTGTGTGTTATTTGGTTCAGGTAAGAGCGCACCAAGTGGCGATCGGCGAGCTCAACAACCTGCCTCCATCCAGGGTAAGCATTCCTCCTCCTCCCGGACCCCGGTGAACTATTTTACGATAAATTTCTGCATGAATTTGGGGGATGGTTAATTGGGTTGTTTTAGTGTGATGGCTTGATAGTTGCTAGGTAGTAACAACTGACCACTTACCATTTGTCTGATGCACAGGCCGCGTACCAGAAGACCTGCAACATCTTCTTCCGCAAGGACATCAAATCTGCCGTGGCGTCCCAACAGAGTATGGTTGATGCTCGTCGCTTTTGTTGCTGTTGTTGCAAGTGTTGGTGTTAGTTGTTTTATTCTTTTCTGTGTGCTTCATGGTGGTACATGATTCCTCCCTCTCTATTTCCTATTCAGAGCAACTTGATATTGCCAAGGCGAAGGTGCAGAAGCTGGATCAAGCATGAAGGCTCACCGCAGAACGGCACAAGAAGCTTTTGAAATTGCAACTTATGCTACTTCATTCATTCACCTCCGTGAATCCTCTCTGATCAAGTTTCTTAGAAGTGCTAGACAACTGTGCTACTTATATAACTCTCTGTGTAATAACGGTGTCATTTTTACAAGCTGGTTGCTAGTTATGAGCGTGAGACGAATGAATCATTTCTGAATATGGAGACTTGATACAAGGCTGTAGTCAAAATAGACCCAGGTAGACCCTACTGCCTGCTTGAGTCCTTCTGGACCGATTATGCAGCCACAGGATTATCCAGGGGCGAGTAGTCTATGCATCTATTTATGTCCTGCTATGACCGACGGTTCATAGGCTTTGCAAAATTGTCGTGTATTCAGTTCCTATGTATAGCATGCTACTTATTTTCTTCTTGTGCTGGCTTCCAGGCAACAATAATTAACCTTGTAATAAATATCACTTTGGTTCATGTCATAGCTTTGTAAATATCTTCTAATAAATATCTTCTTGTGCTGGCTTCCAGGCAACAATAATTAACATGTATATCAGGTAGAGCATGTACTCACAGGGATTGTGTACAGGGGAGGGCCACTCTGCTCTCTCCGCTGTCACTCTGCTGTAAGCTTATGTTGCTGCTTTATTCATCCACCTCCATGAATCCTCTCTAATCAAGTGTCTTAGGAGTGCTAAACAACGTGCAATATATATAGCTTTTCTCTGTAACAATGGTGTCGTTACAACCTGGTCACTAGTTATAGTGCGTGATGAATCATTTCTGAATATGTGTAGCGCCATTCTGCCATGCTTTGTCATTGGTTTGCAGGATACAAAAGTTCCAGTGCTGTTAACTAATGTTTCATTCCCTCATTCGATTACTAGTGCACCGATACTGATGGATGTGATGAACCAAAGCGATGCTTCTCCTCCAAATGTTCTATATGGTGCAGTTGGGTTATCGTTTCTCCTCCGTTTCCCAGGAGGATGTTTCCATTTCTTTTGGAGCATGTATGTATGCCCATGTCTGTACTCTAGCAAGTTTGATGGATTTTTTTTTTTGAAGTTTGTAGTACATTCATGTCAATTACTTATGATGTGAATCCAATGTTAATGTTGGTGCTGTTTGGAAGAGTAAAAGTAGTAGTAACCTTGCTAGTGGACATGAGTGGTAAACTGCAAAGCTGGTACTGTGAGTCTAAAACCTGTGAGTTAAGCTGTATTGGTAAATTGTTGTGTTGTACCTGAATGAGAAGAGATGCGTGAGTGCTAATATAACGGAAAGAGTGAGGCATGAGTGCAGGGAAGAATAGATCTGCTGCGCTTTAGCGCATAGTTTTTTTTTTTTGCACTACTGAGTTGTGTGAGCGATGAAGGATGCATCGACGAGAAGCCTCACAGAATTCTTCCTACAGAGCTGAAACTTGCTTCTTCGGAAACTGGCCTGGCCAACTTGCAGTTCTATGTTGTGTTTCTTTGACAGGTTTGTTCTTACGTATGCTTGTAAGTTCTTAAAGCAGCTAAACTGACAAGTACATGTGCAACTCACTGCTTAAGACATCATCAGCTAACATAAAAGAAGCATTCTTCCCAACATAAAAATGGTAACCCAACAACGTGTGTAAAACCTGTAAGGATGCATTCTTCTAAAAATGGTAACACAACAACATCTGACAAGTTGATGAGGTTTAGGAACTGCATTTGGCGAACAAAAAATAAGGTTGACAAGAAATGCGCCTTCGCTTCCTGGTTGGTTCACAGATAAGCTTCAGGAAGTCATACAAGTACTGACAAGCTAGATCACCATTCACAGAAGTGATGTTCAGTTACAGAGTTACTGCCCAAGGTCAAAACAAGGAAAACGAAATAAACAAGTACACAAGAACTGAAAACTTGGGACGACTAACCACCGTCAATACCAGAATACAAACAAATGCACTGACAATAGGCCAACAAGTTGAGACTCCTCACTGACACATGCCCCTGGATCCTCCTTTGTTGCATGGAAGGTTCATAAAACGGTCAAGCAAGCAGTGTGTCGACATAGCTCATCCATTGCGCCTTCAAAATGGGGTTATTTGTATTACCAGTGAGCATGCAGGCGGGTTGCTTGCCTTACCTGAACCCTGAACATGAAATGGAGATGAGCAGGAACTCTTCCCGTCGGAGGAGATAGATTCAGAATGTACGTCCACTGGCAAGGCCATCCCAAATTTCTGACGGAGATACGAGTTCGATCAATCCTAGCATGTTGGTCTGGTCTGAGTCTGATTATCAAATTCCTGCCCCAGCATCTCTGGATCTGTCTTCTGAATGCAGTCAAGGAACTGAAAATAACCATCTTGTTTTTAGTTCAGAACATGTGGTGAATAATAAACAGAGACGAAAAAAGCAGGTTTACCTGTTGAAGATTTCAGATTTCAGATATGGCAGCAGGATAGTAGGTAGGCTTTTCCGACATGGCAGCATAAATCCCCAGTTTGTTTTCTGAAATCCCAGCAACTGGAGAAGAGAAGTACTGATTATCGAGACATCAAAATCAAGATGGCCACATGGGTATGAGGTTCTGGTTATCAACTGACCTCCCAGCGTTCATCTATCTTCACCGTTATCATGAGCGCGTGAGGACGAGGTTTTGAAGTGAAACCGAACCTATTCACATCACAAGAAAAATATGTTAAGCATTTTCCCTCCCAACCAAATATAATAACTAATGTAATAGGTGATCCAGGACAGGGATGGCCTGGGCAATCCCTCCAGTAGCATATAATTGTACGATTTTGGCGTTTAGTCCAAAAAATGAACTGGGCATGTATGGTAGAAGTATACCTTAGAAAAGTACTCAGCGATCAGTCCACATAGTCCCCATCAATTTCGACCTCTAGCTTGTTTGTTGCTAGTAATCTGCATCCTTCTGATAACTCGGCGCTGCAGTTGTAGATCTCCAGTTTTTCCAGCGAAGGTGGGAGGCCCTCCTTCAGAAGCCCTGATATGCTATTACAAAATATGATCTCCAAACTCTTGAGGGAAGGGAGGCTGCGCAGCCCTGTAGGAAGATATACGAGATGCCAAAAATGCTTAAATTGGAGCTCTTGCAGGGACCCAAGGAGCAGAAGTGCTTTCTCTTGCTCATCTGTTAGTCTCGTTGCATCCGAATGAGTAAGCCTTAGGCTTCGGAGGCAGGTGAGACCCTTGCAGAATGACATGTTCAGGGTAGACAAGTTATCGGTCTCGAGACTTTCCAGTGCAGGGAATAACTCACAGCTATGACTTGAAATACCCTCAACTGGCTCATAACTCTCCATTATGCTAAAGTAATCCAAGGTAGGGGACTTAACTATTATCAAATGTTTCAGGTTCACGAGAGACTGCAAGCCCTCTAATGAGACAAGCGATCTACACTGATGAATTTCCAAACATTCCAGCGCTGTGCAGGAATGCAGCTGTAGTGATTCAAATCTTGAGTTCTTACATAACACCAAAGACCTGAGGGTTCCAAGCGATTGCATGCCTTGTAATGCGACGAGCTGTTCACACAATCTAATTTCTAAATCTTCTAAGGCCGTACAGGAATCCAGCTGTAGATATTCCAAGCTTCCACTGTTTACTTCCAACTTTTTGAGGCACGGGAGATTACCCACAAAGCAGGGCCGCAGAGTTTTTTGGGAATAATCATACCAAACAAGTTGTTCAAGTGATTGCGGGAGGAGACATCTGCCATTCTCTTGGCCCTCTTCCTCTACCTCCTCCCCGAGGATGGTAATTCCAGCCAATCCTTCCCTACTCCCATCAAATATTAGATGAGGGCATCCACCAATTGTTATCTTTCTGAGATTCAACGGAATGTGCACGAGTTCATCTACAGCTATGCTTGGCCGTGTGTCATCTGCATATCCTGATGACGCATCACATAGATATCTTGATGTCCAAGAAGCTGGGACTTTTTCTTCCTCTTCTATCTTCAGTTGTTTCAACTGCGGACAGCCAATTAAATCCAATTCCTTCAGGGTTGACGAATGTCGCAGCATCAGAGATAGCCCCTTTCCCGTCATTCCACATTCTTTAATATAGAGACTTTCAAGAGATGGGAGAGCAGCATCTTTTACAGTTATCATGTCTTCATGGGTATGCTCTGCCACAAAATCTAGAGAGAAAAGTTCTGTGCAGTACTCTATTTTCAAACTCTTTAAAGAGATGAGCTGACTCAAACCTTTGAATGAAATAGATGTTAGGTTTTTGCACCACAATATCTCCAAGTATTTGATATCCTTAAGATTATGGAATGCCAAAATTTTGTCATCGACTGTATCACGCAAAAGTGTATCTCCGCTAATTTTGAAATTTTCCATGGAAGATCCCTCCATTGTCATAATTGTTGAAACTCCACTGATTAAAAGTTCAGAAAATGTGGCTGAAGGTGGAAGGGGGATCTGTGGTTGCAAATGAGGACAATCACAAATGATGAGTTTCCTCAGACTGGGCAACCATGGCTTATGCTCAGTTGTGTAGTTATGACCTTTCTGAAACAAATCAAACACCTCAAGTGCAGGGCAACTCTTGATCTCGAGCACCCTTAAACTAGACATCATATCACCCACAGAAGTACAGGAACATCTTCATAAATCTGGCATTCCATCTAAAACTAGCTCCTCCAGTGACGGAACCGATATTTCTTTTACTCTTTGCATGTTGCGCAACTTCAATCTTTTAAGAAACCGAAACATTTCCAGAGATGGAAGTATTCTCCATCCTTCGCAATCCTCTAGATGAACCATATGCAATGAATTAATGAAAACAACATCCAATACTTGAAGATGGAAAAACTTGCTCAATACATGAGGGAAAGCCTTCTGCTCAGTATGATCATCCTGAAGTTTTAGATACCGAAGACTTGTAGGATTTACCAAGCTACACGGGAAAGAATTAAAATCAGCAGATGTTACAGACATTTGCAACAAACACAAATTATGTGCTTTCCCAAATACATCTTGGAATGCTTTGAAGAAAAAGGAGTCATATTTCCCAATTAACACCAATGACCTCAACTTTCTCACAGATGCGACTATATTTTGCAGGAGAAATTCAAACTTGTCACTGCGAGGTATGTTCCCAGAATATACAGAACTGATTACTATAGACAAATGGTGTATAGTTGGCAAAATTTCCTTGCAATGCAAACCATCCAAAGCTGCACACTCAGTTCTTGAAACTAGCCTTGCAAAATCATGCATCAGGCCACGCATAGCATAGCAAGTTTGACGAACAAAATGGAAAAAGCCTAGGTTCACCAAATCAGTCAGATAGTACTGTCCCATCTCCTCCAAACTCTTATTTGAATGATCACGCTTCACAAATCCATGTGAAATCCAAAGACGAACTAGCTCCTCGGAAGCAAATTCATAATCATAGGGGAATATAGAACAATATGAGCAGCATTGTTGTAAACGGTAGGGCAGCTCATCATAGGAAAGCTTCAAAGAAGACATGATGCCACCATCATGGTTAAGGGATTTCCATGCTTCGGTCTTCAAAATGTTACTCCAATGATCCACTGTAAGATGATCTCTTAATAGTGTCCCAGTAGTTTGTGCTGCTAATGGGTTTCCTCTTAACTTTTGTGCTATTTCCTGCCCTAAGTCACTTAGACTTGCTTGCGCTTCGTAATTCTCATCACCAAATGCGCATGATTTGAATAATTGCCAAAAATAGTCCTTTCCCAAAGCACCTAAGTTAATTGGTCCAGCTGTACCTCTCCTTTTGGCAACATAAGGTTTTCTAGTTGTCAGAATTATCATATTGCCAGTTGCGCCATCAGAATTGAAAGGAGCCAATAATTTGTTCCATCGGCCATCATCCATGCCTTCCCAAAAATCATCTAAAATAAGTAGAACCCTCTTTGATTTAATATGACCCTTCAAGACCTCCTGAAGCTTGGGAAAGCTGCATAGGCCCTCATGCGTTTCTTGGGAGACGTAATCTAACATCTCTCTTGTGATTCTCATTTCATCAAAGTTGTTAGACACCCAAGTCCATATCTTGTGATCAAATTGACTTTCCACAGCTGGATCATTGTATACAAGCTGAGCGACAACTGTCTTCCCAACTCCTCCGATGCCTACAATAGGCAGAACAGTTACACCGGCAGTTGATTTGTGTTCTTCTATCGACTTTTTGATGGATCTCTTCTCTGCAGCTCTCCCATACACTTTTCCTTGAGCAAGACTTGATGTTCTTCAGCGTGGATCTGAGACTCTACTCTGACAGTGACTTGAACTTGCACCATCTAAGTCTGGCCCAAGTATCTTGAGAAGCCCTGTGATAGCCTCTCGCCTGCCTTGCAGCTGACTAGTGATGTTTTGTATCCTTTCAGAAAATGCATCCTTGTTCCAACCGCTTGGGTTAGCTGTGGTGATCTGTGTTGACTCCTGTCCGGTTCTCATCCTTTTTCTGCTAGACGAATTACCAGCTGCAACATGTGTAGGAATTGTAGTAGCATCAGTAGTGCTGCAATGAGAAATAGATTATGGATTAGCGGTGAGATCATTAATATACTCTTAAGCAGACGTGTATTAAAAACGATTCGCAAACGTGTGCCTGTGTGATGAAGAAAAAAAAATCTAGGTACCTTGAAGAAGGGTCAGTTGGTCCACGTTTCTTGGTACAACTTTTGCTCTTGAGATGATTGCGCAAAACTGATGTCCCATTTCTGGTATCGCACATAAGCTTCTTTTGACAGCGCTTACATCTTGCTTTGGCAGGCCGTTCCTTTTCATCAGAGTCTATGATGTCAAAGTGAACCCATTCCTTGGAGCGTAACCTGCCATTACTGCTACTCTGTACATCATCAGCATTTTCTCTAGATCTCTCAACTTGTTGCGTTCCATGTCCATCCATTTCGGGCAGCGTCTCTAAGGCAAAAGAAAGGGTAGACCGGCCAATTAGCAAGCAGTTCAGCAGATACTTCGACTAAAAAAATGCATTACGAAAATTACCTGATTGGAGCCTGTAGTGGTCGAGCTCATCGACCGCATCGTCAGCGTCGTAGAGCAGCTCCTTGATATGAGCAATAGATCGGGCCAGCGGCTTGTTTCCGGTCGCCCTCCCGTGCACAGCAGAAACCACCATCTCCACTGCCTCCACCTCGGACTTGAGCTCCTCCACGTCGTTGCCAAGGCCAGCTTGGCGAATCCAGGAATCCAGCTTGCCGCTGGAAGGGAGATTAGCAAGGATTGTATCTGTAAGCCACCCGATCGCGGCCTCCAGCGTGGTGTCTTCCACCGCCTCCATCAGCAGATCCCGGCGGAAGCAGTAGCAGGAAATGGAGAGAGCAGCAGTGGGAAGCAACGCGCAAGGAGATCACTACCTGGAGGGTTGGTGGATGTGACTGCTTCGACGGGCGTGCTGGGGCTGCATTTTCTCTCCGGCCCGGTGATCTGCATCTGCATAGTGGGATACACGCTGGTACAAATTAACGTTTGTTAATCCCATCATGTTGTCAGTGGGTATCGAGTCACGGCTCCTGTAAAGCATGGCGGCATGGCTGTAAAGCCTAAGCACAATGCCAAACTAATGATGACTCCCACTGTTAAACCCTAAACTAATATAGGATGTGCTTGAGTCCTGGCAAACCTTTGATTAAAAAAATCCATTCTACCAAAGCATGCAGGACCTGAGAGGCTCAAGTCTTCTGTTCTCAGACCCATCCACACCCAAACGCTCATAGGAGAAAGAGAAAACGTAGAGAAGTTTCATATAAGTACTGAACGATGGTCCAAAACGATTTTTTTTTTCAACAACAAAAAAACCGTGTCGCCCTCCTCTGCC